GTCATGTTGTGATGGTGTCCCGGTCATGTTTTGATGGTGTGCCGGTCATGTTTTGATGGTGCCCTGGTCATTTTGTGATGGTGTCCCGGTTATGTGATGATGGTGTCCAAGGAAGAGATGGTCGGTGTGTTGAAAACAGCAGCTGTTTCCAGATTTGTCTTTTTGTCCCGGTTTGTATCTTGCTATTGGGGTCTCCAGCTGGGCTAATTCGGAAACTGGTCCATCTTTGGTTTTTGCATCTTTGCAAGATGTTCTTTGTCATGTATTTCCTTCACATCTCCGCTTCTTCAGTAATCTTCTCTTCCAAAGAAAGGTCGTTGCCTTTTTCTTCGTTTTATTTGTTCTTTTTGTGTCTTTCTATTTCTTCCTTGTCTTTCTTTTTTTTTCTTCCGTTTTTCTTTCTCGTCTCGCACCTCGCCGCAGGCAGATCTCGAAAATGGCACGCATAATACGTCCAGCAGACTGCTGAACCTGAAAGTGGAGACGTCTTCGCAAAGAAAGAAACGGAAAACGAAAAGAAGCACGGTAAATGCTTAAAGAATTCTTGACAGAGAATTCCATTCTCCACTTTGCCTTCACAATTTTTAGTAAACGCTTACAACGCTTCATTCTCCCTTTACGTGTTCAGTCGTGTTTCCTCGTTTCATTTCTGTCGTGCCACATAGACCATGTCCGACATCAGTGCGAAGCCCTCCAATTTCAGTTTGGAGATGTATGCCTGCATCGCTGTCAATCACAAACAAACAAAGGTGATGTTATAAAAAGGATAGTTTCCCTTAAAAAATACAATAAATAAATACAGAAATGGCATGCAATTTGTTTAAAACATGCAATTTGTGAATTCGACCTGCAGCAGGACATTCACCTTGGAGGATGGCTCATCAGTACTTCCCTTCACGGGCACGGGCACTCGCTCGACCAGTTTCTGCCTCCAAGTTTCAAATGGTTACAGAACGTAGAAAAAGAAGAAGAAGAAGTATTGTTCTTTTGACAAGGTAAACACATAAATAAAAAAATAAAGAATAATGTATTTGTTTTTCCAAAAAACGACGTGTTCAGGTGCGGCTTCACTGTGACGTCAGGGCACATCTCGACTTTCTCTTCTTCACGAACCGGGATGTACTTGAACCTTAGCCAGAGAAGCTTACAGGCGGGGTCGCCTAGAAGCAAGCGCCGAGAAGCTCGTGGGACAAAGAGAAGAGACGAAGCAATTCGATGTCCGACATCATGGGACGAAGGTGATCGTTGTACGTGGCAATGGACGGGTGCTGGATGTAGTAGTGGCCTGGCCAGGAGCCCCTAGTAGCGATGCTAGGAGCCCTAGTAGCGATGCCAGGAGCCCCTAGTAGCGATGCCAGTAGCGATGCCAGGAGCCCTAGTAGCGATGCCAGGAGCCCCTAGTAGCGATGCAATTGTTAGTAGCGATGCCAGGAGCCCCTAATAGCGATGCCCTTGTTAGTAGCGATGCCAGGAGCCCCTAGTAGCGAT